AGAACTATGAATGCTGGCCTACTGGTTACGTTCTTACTTCTTAAACTGGTATTTCATCTCCCCGAGTGTCCCATTTCATCATCATAAGGGAGATCCTCAGGCCCCCACTTCTTCTATAAGAGTTTTCATGGAAGTATATAATGAGTGTTTGTTTCTAAGAATCGGGAGGGCTGGTCCACTCGCATGATCATTTGTAGACAACGACTAGCTTAATTTAAAACGATGAGAGATGGTGGGTTACCATCTGTTCTACACAAAATATGGTGGATCATCAGAAAATCACTAACAAGTATCAAGAGTTCAGTGTTAGGTACACCTGGCAGGAATAGTCCCTTAAAAATGTATGTGAGGAAGGTTGTTTCCAGGTGTTGGGGCGTCGGTAAAAGGCGTGTGATCTTTATTATTCAGACAATACGTTCTTTTAGCTAAGATGTCGAGGTGCACCAATAGGGATTCAACACCATCCGGGGCCCCATCGAGTTCAACATCTGGGACACAACCGGCCAGGAGAAACACGGCGGCCTACGGGCAGGCTACTACATCCAAGAAGGGATAGGGGCCCCGGGTCCGGGACCCTGAACACGGGGGGCGGGGAGCCGCCGGGCGCGCTGCCCGGCGCGCGGGGCTACTTGCTGTGTCATGCCGGGCACGGTGTTCGCAGGACCGAGGCGCGGGGCCCGACACAATGGCAGGCGACGGCCGCGCTCGCGGGACCGGGGCTTCCCGGCGCGTGGTGCTGTAGCCGAGGGGACCTGACCGGGCGACTCCGCCGGGCCGGAGGGCCGAGTTCCCCGGATGGATGGATGGATGGATGGATGGGAGATGCCGCCTGGTGGCCTGCCCAAGTTTTCCTGGGACTTAGAAATGGCCAAGGGAGGTAGTGCCTGTTTGGTCAGATGGAGTAGAAAGGAGTCTGACTGTCCAGGTGAAGGGTCCTGGGGAGCCCTAGCACGTGTGTGCTTTCCCTGAAGGGGTGGGGGTAACACGCTTCTCCCCCACCCCCGCCTTCTTTAGCCCGCGAGTGGTACCGTTTTGTGGGTGGTCTGCCCCGCTGACTGTCCCGGCCAGTGCCGTTGGTCGGTGCCGGTTCAAGGGCTCACTGGGCTGTTCCTACTGTGCGCCCGGTGTCCCCGGTGTGCGCAGTCATCGGAGGGCCTCCTAAGGAGTGTGTCTGCGGCCTTGAGGAGTCGGGTTTCCTGGAGTGCTCATTCATTCATTTCGGATTGTTTGGGACTGAGGGAGCATGGGAGCTGAGGGGTTGGAGCGGGGGAGCTGTCTTTCAGGCTCTCTGGAAAAGAAGTCCGTCAGTGTGACAGTCACAGTACCATGACTCTTAGGATTGGGAGAGACCGTGGAGTTGAGTGGAGATGATCCAGGCGCCCAGAAGCAGGCCTGATTCTGAGCTTTCTTCCTGGATGTGCTGAACTCCGGGTCTGCTAAGTGCCCTGACTTTGTTTTTCAGCCCAGTGTGCCATCATCATGTTTGATGTGACATCCAGAGTGACCTACAAGAACGTGCCCAACTGGCACAGAGACCTGGTGCGCGTGTGTGAAAACATCCCCATCGTGCTGTGTGGCAACAAAGTGGACATTAAGGACAGGAAAGTTAAGGCAAAGTCCATTGTCTTCCACCGAAAGAAGAACCTTCAGGTACTTGCCGAATTGGGCCCTGGCGGATGTGCGTTGGTCCTGGGCCGGCTCTGGGACTTGTGGGAGGGTGGGAAGAGTGGCTGCAGCCTGGTCTGTTCTGCTCGATGGCTGTTTTAGTGGTGGACTTCTACAAGTTGATTTTCTTGTCTGTTCCAACAGTACTATGATATTTCGGCCAAAAGTAACTACAACTTTGAAAAGCCCTTCCTCTGGCTTGCTAGAAAGCTCATTGGAGACCCCAACTTGGAGTTCGTCGCCATGCCCGCTCTTGCCCCACCAGAGGTGGTCATGGACCCGGCCTTGGCGGCGCAGTATGAGCACGACTTAGAGGTACCGTACCCCTGGCCTCTGGCTGTGCTTGGCGGCGGGCTGCCCGTGTCCCTGGTGGGGCTCAGCCGCCGGTTTGTGAACCTCGTGCCTCCTTCCCTAGGTTGCTCAGACGACTGCTCTCCCCGACGAGGACGATGACCTGTGAGTGCGTGAAGCTGGAGCCCGGCGTCAGAAGTCTAGTTTTATAGGCAACTGTCCTGTGATGTCAGCGGTGCAGCGTGTGTGCCACTCTTATTACTAGCTAAGCAGAACATGTGCTTCATCTGTGGGTGCTGAAGGAGATGAATGGGCTTCGGAGTGAATGTGGCAGTTAAAAATACCTTCATTTTTTGGACCTCTGCATATTTAGCTGTTTTGGAACGCAGTTGTTTTCTCTCAAGTTTCAAATACAAGACTGCTAACAGTCACATCACAATATTCAGTGGTGGAATCTTGTTTGTTACTGTCATTCCCATTCCTTTTCGTTTAGAATCAGAATAAAGTTGTATTTCAAATATCTAAGCAAACGAACTCATCCCTTGTTTATAAGCCTTTTAAAATCACTGGAATTGGAAAACGATATGATGTTAGTTATATTTAAATCAGGCTAGCTGTTAACTACCGGTTAATTGGAAATTATAATTTCTCCTTATGTCTACTTTGTATGTTGAATCATGTCACCAGCTAGGCATGACAGGCGATGGGTTGAGGTAGAAGTGTTAGTCCAGTCCATCTTGGCCAGGTGGTGTCCCTGGGGAAGACCTGTCCGAACAAGTGATGGTGATTTGCACATACAAGTAGCTATTTTGAGGGTTATGGTTGCTTTTACGATAAAGGAAACCATGTTTTAATGTACACCTTCAAATTTGGACGGTGCGGTTCATAATGGCAGCTTGAGGGGTTCTCTATTAAAAAATGAAAATAAATTTGTACTTGTTTTTTGTTTACATGTCAGGTGTGTACATGTGAAGTGGTAGTTGTAGGGATGTCCCGATGCTGCTCAAGGTTCCCAAGCTTTAAAGAGGTCTGGGATGGGTGAGGACGCTCAGTGCTGGCTGACGGGGTGGAGGGTGTCTGGGCAAGACGGTGAAGAGAACAGCAACACTGGAGCGGTGGCAGTGGGGAGCAGGTTCCAGAATCGGCTTCTGTTGGACTGAGCCTTTAGGCCGCGTCAGGTGTCCTCATCCATGAGTTGAGGCCTCACTCAAGCACCGAGCTCCACCCTCCCTGGTCCAGGCTCCCCAAGCTTTCCGTAGGTGCCCTTAGACAATTACCTTCTCAGCCTAACGGGTAGAGAGGGTCGCTTACATGGGAAGTGGAACGGGGGAAAGTGATACATACAACGTAGTTTCTGTATAAACGCATCAGTAGATTTCATTTAAAGATCTGAATCGCTGTATATGCTATGTTATATTCAGAACCAGAGTTCATCAGCCTGTGTGAGACGTGAAGTTTTTTTCCCATAATTGGGATGATCATTCAGAAATTTTGAATTTAATAGAAGGTATATGTGGTGTTTGTAACCCTATGTAGAATGCAAGTACCGTATTGATAATTCTGGATCCTATTATGTAACAGCTAAAATTTGGAAGCTTTGTTTAACAGGTGGGAAAGGATTTACAAATCATTGGAAGAAATAATTACTGCAAAATATATTGCTTCTACTTTGCCTGGATTTTCTGAATCATCTCTAGTATTTGCTATAGGAAACAATTGCAGAGGTCATTTTGGGGTGAGAGGATGGGGTACAATCCAGTCCAGAGTATATGGATGGGGAAGTGTTTTCTTGAAATTGCGTCCAGTGGGGAAGATGACTGTCCTACTGAACAGTTCTGTGAGCTAGTAATAGTTTATTAAAGTTGTGAGAGAAGGCTTAGTCGATGTGCTTTGTGCAGATAGCATGTGGTTTAGGAATGATAGGGTTTGGGCCAGAGCCAGTAAAAGTGGGCACAGTGGGTCTTGGTAGTGAAGAGATGGCCAGGGAGGAGCGAGACTCCGCTTCCCGAGAGCACTTGGGATTCTGGACTGGTGGTGCACTCCTGGAGCGGGTGGAGTAGAATTTCTGGATTCTTTGTGGAGATTCCAGGAATGCAGGAGGTGGTGTTGAGGTTGAGCATCACCTGGGGCTGCTTGGGTCACAGCGTCAGCAGCGTTAGGACGTTACTGATAAACGCAGTGCCTGGACGAGGGGAGATGAGCAGCCTTTGGTTGAGGCTTGGAGTTCCTGGAAAAGTGAATTCCTAACCAGGAGGCCTGGAGAGCACCGAGCCCGCCCGGGTCCTGCAGACGAGTCGCAGCCTGAGCGCGTGCCTGTGTGTGCCGCTGTGCCGGTTGCCGCCTTAGTACCGTGCATCCTGCTAGCTAGGTGCTGTGGCTCCTTGGAGGTGTACACACTGACCCTCGGTGCACCAGACGTCCCTACCGTAGAGGGCTGCTGGGTAGGTTTGCAGAGGGGGTGGGGGTGGTTTCCCTGGATAGTCTGATGAGCAGGAGGGGAAGTTGCTGCTATACCTGTAGTGTTGATGTGCTGGCGGAACCCTGAAGACGGGAAGAGGACTTGGGGCTGTCACCAGGGCGGGAGGGCTGTTGCTTTGCTAATGCTGTTGGCGGGGGCCGAGTGGATGCTGTAGATGTGGCAGGTGCTGGGTCCGGGTGAGGCGCCAGGGCTGGCCTTGAAGAAGCAAAGTACTAACCATTGCCTGTGGGCTGTCCTATGAGGTGGGCGGCTTTGTGGGATCTGGCCTTTGCCGCCTGGTGTGAGTGCCAGGACGGAGGGGTGGACAGGGCTTTGGCGGCACCCCAGCACCCTGGTGTGTGGGAGAGGCCTGGGGAGGAAGAGGTGAGCGGAGAGGGCTTTGGGACAGAGCACGGGTGGAGAGGAGGATGGCCGACTCGGGCGGCTGTGTGCCCAGGCGCAGGTCGGGTAGCGTGGTGGAGATGTTGGCAGTGGGCGTGGGTTCCCGGGGAGCAGTAACGGTGCAGCCTTGTAGAGGGAGGAGTGTGCCAGGGCTGTGGCAGCCTCTGGGACCTGTCTGTCCACACCAGTTCGCTTCTCAGACGCGGTGGGTGAAGGTGCCAGTTTTTTTTGTTTGTTTTTTTTGACAGGCAGAGTTAGAAAGAGAGTTATAGACAGAGAGAGGTCTTCCTTCCGTTGGTTCACTCCCCTAATGGCCACTACAGCCAGTGCTGCACCGATCTGAAGCCAGGAGCCAGGTGCTTCCTCCCGGTCTCCCATGCGGGTGCAGGGCCCAAGCACCTGGGCCATCCTCCACTGCACTCCCCGGCCACAGCAGAGAGCTGGACTGGAAGAGGAGCAACCGGGACTAGAACCCGGGGTGCTGGAGCCACAGGCAGAGGATTAGCCTGGTGAGCCACGGCGCTGGCCAAAGGTGCCAATTCAGCAGGTTAGAGCCGGTCTGCCGTCTGCTTGGAGTTGCTGACGGGAGGTGAGCATCTACCTGCTCACGGCAACAGAACCACACAGAAGTGAAGTGAGTTGTCAGGAAGGCGCGGAGGCCAGCCTGGTGGCCGCTCTGGGGTGAGTGACCTTTGTGTTCTCTCCCTGATTTGTCTGAAGACTTTCCTCACGCAGTTTGTATATTAGGAGTTTAGGGATATGAGTGAGTACCACATGCTCAGCCACCACCGTGTTACACCTCCTTCCTTCCTTTCTTTTTAAAGATCTATTTATTTTGAAAGAGTTAGAAGGAGAGGCAGAGAGAGAGAGGTCTTTCATCCACTGGTTCACTCCCCACTTGGCGGCGATGGCCGGAGCTGTGCTGATCCAAAGCCAGGAGCCAAGAGACCCCTCCAGGTCTCCCACGTGGGTGCAGAGGCCCAAGGAGTTGGGCCACCTTCTACTGCCTTCCCAGGCCATAGCAGAGAGCTGGATTGGAAGTAGAGCAGCCGAGGCCGGCGCTGTGGCTCAGTGGGTTAAAGCCTTGGCCTGAAGTGCCAGCATCCCATATGGGCGCCGGTTCCAAGACCTGTCTCTACCTCTCTCTCTAACTCTTTCAAATAAATAAAATAAATCTTAAAAAAAAAAAAAAAAAAAGCAGCCGGGACTCAAACTGGCATCTACATGGGATGCTGCAGGCGGCAGCTTAAACAGCTGAGCCACAGCGCAGGCCCCATCACATCCTTCCATGAGGTTCCTCAAAAGATGGAATTGCCAGAATACACTGTTTCTGTGTTTTTTAAGATTTATTTATTTGAGAGGCAGAGTTAAGAGAGGTCTTCCATCTGCTGGTCCCTTCCCCAGATGGCCACAATGGCCAGAGCTGAGCTGATCCAAAGCCGGGAGCCAGGAGCTTTGTCCGGGTCTCCCACATACGTGCAGGGTCCCAAGCACTTGGGCCATCCTCAGTTTTCCCAGGCCACAGCAGAGAGCTGGACGGGGAGAGGAGCAGCGGGGACATGAACTGGCGCCCATATGGGATGCCGGCGCCGCAGGCAGAGGCTGGGCCCACTATGCCACTGTGCCGGCCCTTGTTCCCAGTGTTTTATCACAGGCTTCTAACTGTGCAGTACACCTGTGGTGTGGTGGATGGTTCAGAAGCCAGTCTGGTAAAGTTTGATTCCAGACAGGTGGGGCTGCAGTCTATGTTCTGCTCTGTGGGCCACTCTCAAAGTGGGCTTAACTCTTAAAGGGAAGTTTGTTTCCCAATACTCAAGACCTTCCATGTTCTTTGACTTCATGGAATCCTAACAGATGGAAAACCAACCAGGGCTATTTCTTTTCTTTTCTTTTTTTTTTTTTTTTTTGGACAGGCAGAGTGGACAGTGAGAGAGACAGAGAGAAAGGTCTTCCTTTTCCGTTGATTCACCCTCCAATGGCCGCTGCAGCTGGCGCACCGCGCTGATCCGAAGGCAGGAGCCAGGTGCTTCCTCCTGGTCTCCCATGCAGGTGCAGGGCCCAAGCACTTGGGCCATCCTCTATCGCACTCCTGGGCCACAGCAGAGAGCTGGACTGGAAGAGGAACAACCGGGACTAGAACCCAGTGTGCTGGCGCCGCAAGGCAGAGGATTACCCTAGTGAGCCACAGCGCCGGCAGGGTTGTTTCTTACAAGTCTTGTGTGTTTGTGTTTCTTTTTGCCGTGTTGTCGACTTTGTTCCCCGCGTGGACGTGGTCCCCGGTGCAGACACTGACGTGTGCCGGGTTCAACGTGCTGTCGATGACTCACTTGGCGCCGTTTGCTCTGTCAGTGCTTACGTGTTCAGTGGTTGGAAAGCAAGGTGGGTCCTCTGACCTCTTAAGAAAGTTTTTAGGCCGGTGCCGCGGCTCACTAGGCTAATCCTCCGCCTTGCGGCGCCGGCACACCAGGTTCTAGTCCCGGTCGGGGCGCCGGATTCTGTCCCGGTTGCCCCTCTTCCAGGCCAGCTCTCTGCTGTGGCCAGGGAGTGCAGTGGAGGATGGCCCAGGTGCTTGGGCCCTGCACCCCATGGGAGACCAGGAAAAGCACCTGGCTCCTGGCTCCTGCCATCGGATCAGCGCGGTGCGCCGGCCGCAGCGCGCTGGCCGCGGCGGCCATTGGAGGGTGAACCAACGGCAAAGGAAGACCTTTCTCTCTGTCTCTCTCTCTCACTGTCCACTCTGCCTGTAAAAAAAAAAAAAAAAAAAAAAAAAAGATTTTATGTATTTGGAAGGCAGAGAGCGTCCGTCTGCAGGTTCACTCCCAAGTGCCCACACCAGAGCCGGGCCAGGCTGAAACCAGGCCCTCGTGGGCGGCAGCGACCCAAGTACTTGAGCCACCCTGCTGCCTTCCAGGGGGCACATGAGCCCGAACTGGATTGGAAGTGGAGCCGATCCCCAAGGCAGGCACTCCGGTGTGGGGGGTGGGCGTCCCGAGCGCAGCTTCCCCACTGTGCCGACAGCGCCCCCCCCCGCCCCCGCCCCCATTAAGCGCTTGCTTTCCCCGGTTTGGA